CAAATTGAGACGGGCGTCTATGTTTATTTGCCTGTTCAATCATTTGATGTTGTGCTTTAAGTATATTTTCTTTTACTTTATCAATGTCTTTCTGGTATTGGACTGCAAACTCACTAGTTCCTACAGGAAGCTTATGTATTTGATCCGGGTTCAATCGATCAATGGGTCTGCGTGGACGCCATCCCAGATGTAACTCCATAGGAGTCTTACACGTAGATAGGTGCACAGAGTTATTATAGGCACTAGCAACCTTAGGCAACTGTTCATCCCAGTCAATTTGGTCGGGACGAATATACATGCGCAAAGTCTGCTGCAAGATCTTATTCATCTGTTCAGTCTGACCATTAGTCTCAGGATGCCTACCTGATGACATTGTCAACTTAGAACCATATACATCCATCAGTTGTTGCCATTGTTCACTTGTGAACCTGGTATCTCTGTCACTTACAATAGTTAAGGGATGTCCAAAGTCTTTTACCCAATGGTTAAAGAATTCCCGAATTACTAATTCAGTCTTTGCTTCTGCAGGTAAGCTACAAAAACAGCATACTTAGTGAATCTATCCACTATGACCATTACTTGCGTCTTCCCATTTCTGCTTTTTACCTTAGTGTCCATGAAATCTATAGAGACAGAGTCTCCAGGGCCGGTAGGGATAGGCAAGGGCTTAAGTAGCCCGAGGGGCGATTGCGTGGTGCTTTTGTTTCGTTGACACACTTGGCAACCCTGCACATACGCGATACAATCCACTTTCATTCGAGGCCAGGTGTAGGAGCGTAACAAGGTCCCATAGGTCTTCTTCCACCCAAAATGGCCTTCTGTATCATGGCATTCCCCCAAGATCATACTBTTGATCWCCTCATTATTCGGTATACACAGCCTATCATACATGTTAGTTCGTTCAAACAATAGACCCTGAGTTACTTTATGATCGGGAAACTTTGCTGGCTTTTCTTGCACTAGCTTAATCATGGTTCCATAAATAGGATCAGAGGAATACGCATTTCTAATCTTTTCTTGTAGGTCTGCACCTACATCTAGATAAGTCACAATAGCACCGAAAAAATCTGATCTACGACTTAGTGCATCAGCAACAACATTATATTTACCCTTTACTGGCTTCAATTCAAAATCAAACATATCACTTTCCGCAGCCCACCTTGTCAACTTAGGTGTCATTCGAGCTTGCGTTTTGAGCCAGCGAAGTGTTTCATGGTCAGAGTACACTTTTAAATGCCTGCCTAGAAGGTAGTGTCGCCAATGATTGAGAGCCTCACGTAGTGCATACAACTCTCTTTCATACGTCGAAGCGGCCACCTTCTCATTAAGCAGTCGGAAAGACATAAACTCTAC